CGACTCAAGAAAGGTAATTCTTGTCATCTACCAACCGACCATTCACGGTCACCCAGTTGACTGACTTCAATATAGAACCCGTTCCCACCGTCGCGGGCTCCCATATGTCTCAATTTCGGCCATCTGTTCCACGAATCCCCAGAGAAGATGACAACGCGCAAAGCGAGGAGGTATGAACTAATTGATATTTGGCTTAACATGCAGAAGCGATTAACCAGAGTTCTAGAAATGTACAACCTGTGGCAAGGGAGATTCTGTCGATCCACTTCTTGTTTGCGAATCATGTGATAATGCTTATCACGGCCAATGCCTTGATCCGCCTTTGAAGCGCAAGCCCGAATCTGAGTGGAACTGTCCCCGTTGTCTCGTGGGTGATGGACAATTTGGTTTCGAAGAAGGCGGCCTCTATTCACTAAAGCAGTTCCAGCAAAAGGCTAATGATTTCAAACAAGGCTATTTCGAGAAGAAGATGCCCTTCGACAACACACTCAATTGTCACCGTCCTGTCACCGAGGAAGATGTGGAAGCTGAATTTTGGCGGCTGGTTTCTGATCTGGAAGAGACTGTAGAAGTTGAATACGGTGCTGATATTCACTGCACGACTCATGGCTCAGGTTTTCCAACTTTGGAAAAGCATCCATATAACCAATATGCATCAGATCCATGGAACTTGAACGTCTTGCCGTTCCACCCTGAGAGCTTGTTCCGACACATCAAATCCGACATTTCAGGAATGACTGTTCCATGGGTCTATGTGGGTATGATATTCTCCACTTTCTGTTGGCATAATGAGGACCACTATGCGTACTCAGCCAACTATCAGCATCTTGGCGCAACAAAAACTTGGTACGGAATCCCGGGTGAAGACAGCGATAAATTTGAAGAGGCCATGAAGGAAGCTGTGCCCGAACTCTTTGAGACTCAGCCTGATCTCTTGTTCCAATTGGTCACTCTCCTCACTCCTGAGCAGCTGAAAAAAGCAGGCGTTCGAGTTTATGCGGTTGATCAACGTGCTGGCCAATTTGTGATCACATTTCCTCGAGCTTACCATGCAGGCTTCAATCATGGTTTCAATTTCAACGAAGCTGTCAATTTCGCGCCTTGCGACTGGGAGCCGTTTGGCCTAGACGGGGTGGACAGGCTGCAACGTTTCCGCAGACAACCCTGCTTTTCTCATGATGAGCTCCTATGGACAGCTGCGGAAGGGAGCACTGCCTCGGGATTAACCATTCAGTCAGCGAAATGGCTATCACCGGCGCTAAAATGTTTACGTGACCGAGAGTTCGCACAGCGCAATGATTTCGTCGCTCGGCACACAAAGCTGACGTCTCATCGATGTCAACTACTCGGTGGCGAAGACGTTTGCCCTCTCAACTTCAGTCTTCTTGATGAGGACGTGAATGACGAGGAGGAACAGTGCTGTAATTATTGCAAGGCTTTTGCATACTTGTCCCGCTTCAAATGCCTACGTTCTGGCAAGGTGTACTGCATACTGCATGCAGGCCATCAACCTTGCTGTGAGGCGGGCGAAGACGAACGGTTTCTAGGCGATGGTCATGTTTTGATTTATCGCAAATCCGACCAGGAAATTGATTCGATGTATTCCAAAGTGGAAGACAAGGCTCGCACCCCTGAATTGTGGGAAATCAAGTATGAGAAATTACTTGACGAAGAGACGTACCCATCATTAAAGTCCTTACGAGCCCTTCTTCACGAGGGGGATCGTATCCCACACGAATTGATGTCTCTTAAAGTGTTGCGACGTTTTGTTGAGCGGTGCAATAATTGGGTAGATCAGGCCACTTCCTACATCGTCCGAAAGCAACAGAGCCGGCGCAAAAACGAGAAAGTATGGCAGACTGGGTCTCGACGTTCAATAGGTTCCAGCCAAATGGACCAAAAGGAGAAGGAGTCCCGAAATGTCGCCAACATATATCGCCTTCTTGATGAAGCAAAACACATTGGTTTTGATTGCCCTGAGATCGCCCAGCTCCAAGAACGCGCAGCTGCGGTCAGAGAGTTTCAAAAGACTGCCTCCGACGCTATTGATAACTCTCGGTCTATCTCTATCGAAACAATCGAGGAATTGATTGAAGAGGGCCGCAGCTTCAATGTCGACATGGCAGAGCTTGACTCACTATGTCGAGATCTAGACCAAAGGCGATGGAACCAGAAGGCCCAATCCAGCAGAGGTATCGCCATGTCTCTAAAGGAAGTCCAAGATCTTATTGAAGATGCCAAACGACTTGAGATTCCGGCTTATAATGACCATTTCACATACTACCGGGAGCAGCTACTTGCTGGTGAGGCTTGGGAGAAGAAGGCAAATGAACTAATTCATGCCGAGTTCGTCCACTATCCTCAACTCGAAGCTTTGTCTGCTCAAGTAACAGCGAACGCGCTACCTGTATCACAAGACACTCTAGCATCCATCGACCAAATCCTTCATAAACAACGAGAGGCTCATCGACAAATCCTCGACTTAACAAGTCGGAGCCAAAATACCAGCATCCGGGAGAGGCCCAAGTACGGCGAGGTTGTCGAACTTTGCAAAAAGCTCGAGGAGCTGAATTCAAAACCGCAAGGCACCATCGACCTCGAAAACGAAAGAAAACGACACGAGGACTGGATGAGAAAGGGAAAAAAGTTGTTCGGAAAGTCAAACGCTCCTCTCCACATTCTCAAGACTCATCTCGAATACGTCCTGGAGCGGAACTCGGACTGTTTTAATATTGAGCATGATACCCCACGACATCCTGGTGAACCAGTATCCAGGGAACCCAGCCCCGAGGATGGAGTGAATCGCTTAGAAGATGGCCGTTCGAGACAAGTATTCTGTATCTGCAGAAAGATCGAAGCCGGCATGATGATTGAATGTGAACTCTGTCACGAGTGGTGAGTAAAGTTTTCCTTCGAGTCTCGGTCAAATACACCACCCCGACCAACATTCGAAAGTCTCTTGCATAAAACTAACTTCAGGGACAGGTACCACTACAAGTGTCTAAAAATTGCCCGAGGGAAGGTGAAGGAAGATGACAAGTACACGTGCCCCATCTGTGATTGGCGGGTCAAGATCCCTCGGGATGCCTCTCGGCCCAAACTCGAAGATCTCGTGGCTTTGGTTGACGAGATCAATACGCTTCCCTTTCAGCCAGAAGAAGAAGGGCTGTTGCGCCAAATTATTGATGGCGCACAGTCATTCCGCGATCACATTGCTCGATACTGCAGTCCAATCCTGTCTACCGAAGCTGAAGTCGAAACCCAACGGTTCTTTCTCAGGAAAATCGAAGGAGCTGAAGTCTTGCTCTCTTATGAAACGAACTACTTTCGACAGGAGTTGCACAAGTGGTCACCAGTCGCCCCTGAGGCACCCCCTATCCTAGAGGTGTCTCTTAGTACGAGGAAACCCCGCCCTACGAAGCTTCAAAAGATGCTTGCCGAATATGGGGTAGATAATCCAGACGACTTACCCGAGCATGCCAAGGGCAAGGCCAATAGTTTACGCCGCAAAGCTATGAATGCCGAAGCTGCTGCTGCCGCACAAACATCTGGCGCTCCAATTCCACCACCTTCGTCGCACGGTCAGGTCGGAAATCAACCCTTCTTTGGCCGTCATCCACAGGGCGATGTCTCAGCTTCGAGCTCTGCACTAGGTCCAAATGAGCATCAGCTTCAAGGAGAAGCGATGGCCATCGACAACGGCTTACACCCAGCATTCCTTGGAGCTAATGGACCTCAATTGCACGTGGATGCCTCTAGCAAGTCACTCGAGGACAGACTATTAAGAGGCGATGTAGATGAAAGTGAATTACATACTGAGGAAGGAAAGACTAAGGCTCTGGAGATCCTCAGTCGGACTGAGCAAGGAAGGCAGCAAGCAGAGAAAATCTGGGGCGCAGACGTTTGGGGCTCTCACCACCGATCTCTTAGCCATGAGGCACGAGGTATCACATCAGTTGACATTGACCCCATGATGAAACAGGACGATGGGAACGTGGATCAAATGTTCAAGGAAATGACGAATCAGGACGATGACGAAGATCCAAAGAAGAAGGATGCAAATAATGACGAAACAACACCTAAAAAACTCGCAACTGAGCTCGCCAATAGAAACAAACCAAATGAAGCAACAGGCAAGGACCAGTCAGCAAAGTGATGGGCAGAAAAGACAAGATTTATGGGCAGGCGTTAGGAACTGGAGACCATAGGTATAGGTGTTTACTAGGATATGGGTCAAGCTTTGAACCGAACAACCGTATTTCGATTGTTATTTGGAGCTGAATGGTGTTAGTTGGTATTTTTCCCGCCTTGTCTTGGGGTCAGGGCACATCAACGATGGAGTTGCATTATTCTTCTTGCACATCGCACCCCGAGCGCAGTATCATAACTCTTTAAAGTTAGTAACACGGAAGCGTGTACAATAGATATCAAGAGGATTTTATGGGAAAATCTTCCGTATGTCTTTTCGCAAATTACATACTCTGGGAATCCAACCGATCGTGAAGCCAAGTTCTCTCTCGTTTGTCCCCTAGCTGCGGATGCTGGGCAAAAGATATCACATGCAGCGTGTGTGCTTTTGCTTTTCAAGCTGCAGAACAAATTACGGCAAATAGAGGTGAAGATGAAGAGTATTGGAGGGGGAGTATATTCTGTGAGTAGATCCGGAAATAGATAAATTGCAAACGCTATCGAATCTGCCTCTTGTGACAAGGGACGTTGAGCCCAGAGGAGATAGTCTATAATCTTAGATGAGACAAAGACATTTATCCTGGAAAAAAAAGAGTCATCGGGACCGATTGTTGAATACATGGTCTTCTCCAGAAAACCTTCCGCGAATACATATTCGCAAAATCTAACGCCTGTATATGCTCGAAAGAAAACAAACCCAAGAAAAAGGAATAGCCACATGGCTTCGCTGCTTAGCCCCGGTGTCCCAGGGAAACGCATGCAAAAGAAAGAGTGAGACTGTTTGGATTGGTCACGCTGGAGTGGTGGAATGTCTATCGGTTCACACCGACGAGGCTGAGAAATTCATTCCGCGTCTTCGACTTGCGCTCGAAACAGCCCAAGACGCAGCTCGTGATGGTTGTTGATGAGGTCTTCTCAACGCCGCGCATGACCATGCAGAGGTGAGATGATTCCATGACAACTGCGACGCCCTGAGGTTTCAAGATCTCCATGATGGCGTGAGCGACCTCTTTGGTGAGACGCTCTTGGATTTGTAGGCGGCGGGCAAACATTTCAGCAATGCGAGGCAGCTTGGAGAGGCCAATGACAGTCTGGGATGGGATGTATCCAATGTGCATCTTCGATAGAAGTTAGCCGTCTGTTTCACAGCCCATTTCGATATGGGGGGTTGCAAGAACAGTTGATCGCTCCAAGTACATACCTTGCCAATGAATGGAACGAGGTGGTGTTCGCATAGCGAGTGGATCTCAATGTCTTTTTTCCCCTCCGGTTAGCATCAATGTCAAAATGAAGGCGGGCAATGCAAACACAAACTTTTGACTACAATGAGTTCGTTGTGGCCCTCGTGGAAAAGCGCGCCATTCACAAGATCCTCCATGCTCTCCTGGTAGCCCTTGGTGAGGAATAGGAGGGCCTTTGCGTAGCGCTCCGGGGTGTCGAGTAACCCCTCACGGTCCGCATCCTCGCCGACGCATTCGAGTAAAGTACGGACGGCGCCGCGCATCTTCTCAAGACGCTTCTTGGCTTGTTCTGGGCTCTCCTCGCGGCGCTGGAGGGTTCCAATGCCTAGTATCCAGTCAATGACAAGGGCGCAATATGTCTCAGGTCTTGCCTATCTGGACTTAATTGGTCAGATAGACAAGAGTCGGGGCAACCTACTCGGCCGGCTGAGCCCGTCAAAGTCCACGACTGAACTCGGGGTGGTCTCTGATTCCGCATCGCTCTGTGTCGTGGCCTTGGCCTTCTTCTTGGACTTGACCGTGACGACGGGCTCGTCGCGGGGGTCTCTGGCGGCGGCGCCCAGGCTATTGCGCCTCTTGTCGAAAGCCTTGGAGCGCGCCGGGGAAACCCCATTGGTGTTCTTGGCGCCGTTTCGCTTCTCCTTGCGCTTCTTCTTGTGGGCAGAGCCGTCGCTCGACGTTGAGCTGCCAGAGATGCTGGCGGTATCGTGGGGTCGCTTCCTGGTCAGGGACCGCTCGGCCTCGTCGATGGACACCATGCTGGGCGCGGGGAGAGATTGGAAGAAACGCCCGTAGCGGGGAGAAGGGGAGTGATGCGCAAAGGATACCTAGGGCTCAATTGAAGAATGGTGATGGTGAAGGAGCGAGATCGGCTATAAACGGGGACGGGGCAGAAGAATATAGCACGTTTCTGCTGACTCGGTGCAGGTTGACTCGGTTAGAATCCGAGCATGGATGGATGGGCCTATTGGGAGCTATATAAAGGTAATGAAGCGTTTTACGGGTTCCCATGAGAGATGTATATACTGCCGACCTTGCCCGTTATTAGCCCCCGCGTTACAATGTTCAGGGCCCTGGCAATCCAGTTCGTAAATCACCCGACTCAACCGACAAGGCAGGTCAGAAAAATTCCAGGTCCCAGGATTCTATGATCCTTATCGCTTATCGTCTACGTCAAGTGGGAGCGGGAGCGGGAGGGACACCGGTCATGTGATAGGTACGACGGTCTACTTGGGGTAAACGTCGAGAGAGTTCCCACAGGGTACTAAACGGCCGATCCATGGGGAGCAGCGACCATTCAATAAATATGTTTTCAATGTCAAGCGTATCGTCGCATCACACATGGTCGGGCAGTTTTGCAGACGAGGCATTGCGAGCCAGGTAGGGTCAATGATGAAGTATTTTTCTGCCGTCTTATTGGTTAAATATAGTGGGTAAATGCTAGTGGGTACAAATGCCATCATGTCCCGTCTCGCTTTAGGCCGGGTTTAGCTGCAGCCAAGCCGTGAAACGCGTTTGCGATCATCTATCTGTTGAAACTCCTTTCGCGAGTCGTCACTGCAAGGACTTACAGCCATCCACGCTTTTCTCCTAAGGCGCTTATTGAGTGCATTCTTTCATTGCTTCTGCGCTGGCATATCGAATACCTCTACTCACCCATCTTGCAACCTGATATATCCAGCTGTCGCCAGCTTCCGAACAAACCTTCCATCATGGCCTCCCCTCCCAACCCCAGCTCGCCTGCTGCCATGTCTCCTCCAGGCCCTTCGGCACCGCAGCTTCCTGTCAAAAAGCGCAGTTCCACATTCGATATCAACGGCCCCAATAAGCGCCGCAAGGCCTCCAGCACGTCCAACAACCTAATCCATCCGCTACGTCAAACTTCCTTTCCGCCCGAAGCCCGTTCTCCCTTCCCGCGATCGCCTTCGGTAGACTCTGCTTCTCATGTCAGCGGCAGCCAAGTGAGCGGAGTTACGGCAAGCGGTGCGCCAAAAAAGAAACGAGGACGCAAGGCCAAGAACGCAAAGGGTGGAGGTGAGTCGGCCACACCCAGCTTGGTGGGTGGGAAGGCGGCGACTTCCGTGAGCGGACATGGCGGCGAGGACAAGGACGCAGAGGAGGAGGATGAAGATGACGATAAGGCAGAGATGGCCCTGGAGGATGTTGGCGCACGAACTCAGGAGCAGAAGCAGGAAGAGATCAGGCTGAGGGCTATGCTGGTGGAGGCATTTGACCCCGAGCAGTATAGTCGGTACGAGCACTGGCGTGCCATGAAGCTCACGGAATCTGTTGTCAAGCGGGTATGTTTCACTCTTGTTGCACAGACTTGCCCGGTTTCGTTATCAGGTTGCGGGCATGTGGTTAACAAATGGTATCTAGGTTGTCAACGCTACGGTATCCCAATCAGTGCCGGGAATGGTTACCACTGCGGTCAAAGCAGTGACGAAACTGTTTTCCGGAGACATTATCGAGTTGGCCCGACAGGTGCAGGGCGAGTATATTCGTGCTGGCGAGACGCAGTCCGATCTACCGACCCCGCCACGCTCAGGCGCCGAAGGGGGCGCAGAGGAGGACGCCGAACTACACAGAGGACCCCTTCGTCCAGAGCATCTACGTGAAGCCTGGAGGCGGTACAAGCTTGCTGGGGAGAGCCGTGGCGTCGGCATGCAGCAGCTGTGGCATCACCAGAAGCAAGACGGAGTGGAGCGATTCTCAACAAAGACGGGAAAGAGGATGTTCAAGTAGAGAATGAGGTGACGTGGTGGACATGATACCCTTTGGATTGATTTATTGAACTCGGTTAGCGATGGAACATTTACAGCAAGGACAAACACGGCGCATGGAAGGGAAGGTTCAAGGATGCATCCAGGCGTTTGGCAAGAAAATCACGGATGGGAATTAATTGCCTTTGATTAATCACTAGAGCTATAATCACTTTTTATATCCGACCTAGCCAGGGAAGAATGACCAGGTATTGTCGAAATCATTATGTGGTTGATTGAATTGGGGGTTTTGGATCAAGTGAGCAAATGGCCCAACCCATATTTGGAAATTACTGGCCCACCAAACGAAACATTCACCTACTCCCTTTCACAAGCCTGAAGATTACACTTATCAACTATACACGGCAGACCATTTCGCTCTGATGCGACTTTCACTATGATAGCTCCATCTCTGCTGGCACTCGGCGCCGCTTCCCTCCTGATTGCCCTCTGTCTCAGAATGGCCAACCTAGCTGCGCCCACCCAACTTCATAATAAGACGATTGCACTCTTGATAGCTCATCCAGATGACGAGGCCATGTTCTTCGCGCCCACAGTACTCGCCCTGTCGAGAAAGGAGACTGGAAATCGTGTTAAAATCCTGTGCCTGAGCAGCGGCGATGCGGAAGGCCTTGGTGAGACGAGGAAGAAGGAGCTGGTGAAAAGCGGATTACTTCTTGGGTTGAAGAGCGAATCGGACGTAATGGTGATAGATAACCCAACGTGAGTCCCCGTCTCTTCAACTTGTGGTCATTTTATGAGATAATACCACTCTTCAACACTGGCAAGTAAGGACTAACTGATAGGAACCTCTTGCTGCTTGATAGCCTGTTCCCAGACTCGATGACGACTCACTGGGATACCGATGAAATATCCTCTCTTCTTCGCACTACGTTCATGACCAGCCAATCATCATCCGGCTCGCCCAAACCCACCATTGATGTTTTGATCACATTTGATTCGAAGGGCATATCGTCACATCCTAATCACATTTCGTTGTTTCACGGCGCACGAGCATTCATCTCGTCGCTTACACAGCAGGGCGCTGGGGCAGATCAAACCGTCAGTCTATATACTTTAACCACAGTAGGCGTGGCGAGGAAGTATGCAGGAGTATTCGATCGTCTCTTCACTCCGTTGCTTGGGGGGAGTGATGTGGGAAGCAATGGGCAGGTCACGCCAACCAGTCTTGTTTTCATGCACGGACTCGGGCAGGGAGGCTGGCGTACTGCACGAGAAGCCATGACTGCGGCACATGTCAGCCAGATGAGATGGTTTCGGTATGGGTGGATCACACTGAGTCGGTATATGTTTATAAATACTCTTGAGTTGGAGGAGGTGAAATAATATGTAGACTGGATATCGGTGGATGTTGTCTTTTGGATGTACAACTTCAGCGTGAGTTGTGAGAGCCTCGGCTCTTCACACTTTGGTCCACCCAAATGACATTCATTCATTGAGTATCTTTAACACGTGGGGACTCGAGAGAACGGAACCCATTAATGTATTAATTAGGATGTCACTCATATGAAAAATTCTCGTAAGTATAATATTTATCATGGTGCTATTCAACCGCCGGGTGCTTATGATCCGTGACGACTGTATAGGGTAGGCGGCTAAGTGGCTGCCGACCTAGGCAGGTGTTATTTGGAAATGGATCGTCAAGATCGGCAGTTGTGAAGTCGTGTTGAAACCGCAGCTCCCAATTGGTGGTCCCCCAGTCTCATGTTGTTACCTGATACCAATTTCATTTAAGCACGGGACGGCATTTCTTCCACATTGGCCTGGCGACATCTCGAGCTTACTTTCCTGGCGTAGCGCAACCGTATGCATGAAACTCGACTTGGGATTTAAAGGTCAACTTGGCTGCCGTCTGCTCGGTCCCTTGGCAGTCAGTTAGTCCAAGTTCATCTTTCTATAGCAAGATCTAGAATCATCATGAAGACCGCCGTTTCCGCTGTTCTTCTGCAGGCTCTGGCTGTGCAGGCCATCCGCATTGTTCAGTCGAACGACGATGGCTGGGCTGAATCATATACCCGCTCCTTTTTCTCTGCCCTGACCAGCGCTGGCAACACTGTCTGCTTGTCGGCCCCCGCGGACAACAAATCAGGAGTAAATACTCACCCCCTGGCGTCATATATTTGACGTGCAAGCTAACTGTGTTCAGACCGGTGGTCTGGATATTGACCCCGAGCCTCGCAGCAGTGCTTGTCAATATGATAGCTGCCCGGCTAACAGCGGCGCAACTGGCAGCAACGCGACCCAGCCAGAGCTGAACTGGGTCAACTCCTTCCCTGCTACCTCGATGCGGTACGGTAGGACCGAGATCTGCCCTGCCCTGTGGGACGGCGCCGCACCAGAGCTTGCTGTTGCCGGCCCTAATGTTGGATCCAACCTCTTCGCTGCTGTTCACTTCTCTGGCACCGTTGGCGCTGCTTGCGATGCTGCCAATGCTGGCATCCCGGCCATCGCATTCTCTGGCGCGACCGAGGACCGGGTTGCTTGGAACACCGTGCCTGTTCCCCACAGCGGCGAGGTGTACGCCGAACTGGCCACCACCATCACCAGCAAGATCATCGCCTCCGGAACACCTTACTTGCCCGAGAATATCTGGCTCAACGTGAACTTCCCCCAGGTCAGCGATGAGTGCAACGCCGCCGAGGACTTCAAGTTTGTTCTCAGCCGGATCAACCCTGGGATCCTGAGCCCCCCGGATGTTGAGCACTGTGGCTCGACACGGCTCCCCCAGGAGCTGGAGGTCATCAACGCCGGAGGGTGCCGTGTCTCCATTAGCATTGGCGACTCAAAGGACAAGACTACCGCCAACGACGACCGACAGGACGCCGTTCTTGCGAAGCTGAAGGATATCTTGACCTGCCTGTAAATAAGCATGGTGATAAGTTTAGAGAGATGCTATGTATAAATAGGCTAGAGCATATATATGTTTAAACTTGGGGTATATAAAAGCTCGTGGATATTTCTGGTGTAAATGCTGAAAATGTATTTGGGAAAGAGTGTTAGTAAATATGTGACGCCAAAATGATCACGAGATTTTGTCATCCGTTATCTGTAGAAATAAACAACTGATATGTGTTTATTGTTGAGGGATGGAAGATTAACAAGCTGTGATATGATCAAGCGCGAGCACCTAGATACATGCATGCATACAAGAAGAATTGTATGGTATGTGTGGGCTGAGGAACTCGCTCAGAACTGAAACAAACTTTGAAAGCAGGACCAGTCTAAATTATGCATAATCGGGCTGAAACTGAAATATCGGCCATTTGTTTGAAGCCGATCTGTATAGCTGTTTCATCAGAAGGGAGCGCTGTCATGGTGGAGTTACTCTTATCGACCCGGGATTCTTATCAGCCCACCGAAATTCTGTGGCATCCTGAAATCTAAGGCAGCACTATTTTTTGCGTCGGCCTGGAAAAGTACATGTCGTGAGAAAAGTATACGGTCGCCAGCTACCGAGGAGCTCGGAAAACACAACCACTCACCATGGCACCAATGGACCGATGCTTGGCCTCAATGGCCAGGCTGAGCCTCGCGCACCCCGCCAGACCGACTCTTTCGGCAGCTTCACGATGTCTCGCACCGGGACTCCTCCAGACGCAAAAACGAACTTACGCCTCAGTCGTTCGAATTAGACAAAAGACGAAGAAGAAGAAGGCCGTGCCCAAGGATTTCAAGCGACACAGACTGGATAAGACGGAGTTTCCTCAATTTTCTCTGGTTGAGGCCATGCGGTATGTTGGGCAACTTGCATTGCGATCTCACGGGACGTCCCACTAACCACGGCCACAGAGTCCTTCGTGCGTGCGAGGTCGGCAAGCCCCCGGGTGGTGTCAAGTACGAGCTCAGCGTCAACCTCAAAACCTTCCGCAACGGTCCTGTGATCAAGAGCAGCATCCGTCTGCCCAACCCCGTACAGAGCGACTGGCAGATCGCCGTCATCTGCCCAGAAGGCAGTGCGATAGCGAACGATGCTATCAACGCTGGTGCCAAGGCCGTCGGCGAGAATACCCTGTTTGAGGCCATCAAAAACGAAACCATCGAGTTCGACAGGCTCATCTGCCACGAGTCGAGTGAGAAGGCACTGCAGCAGGCCAACCTGGGGCGTATCCTGGGTCCCAAGGGTCTGATGCCCAATAAGAAGATGGGAACGATTGTGACCGATGTGGTGAGGTCTATCCGTGATTCTGCGGGTGCGGCGGATTACCGTGAGAGAATGGGAGTCATCCGCATGGCGATCGGACAGCTGGGTCACACACCCGTCCAGCTGAAGGCGAATATCGAGGCTGTGATGAAGAAGATTAAGACACAGTGTGCCGAGCTTTCAGAGGATGTCCCCAAGGATGTCCACGAGGTCATTCTTAGCACGACGAATGGCCCCGGACTGAGCCTCAACGGAAAGTTGAAGAACCTCGAGGATAAGACTCTGCCAGAGGCTGTGTCTGGGCAAATGTAAATTGCATGTTCCCAGGCTTGTATTATTGTATCATATCAAAAAGCAACTATACACTATTTTGGAATACCATTAATACCAAAGTTTGAGGGGCATAGAAGATGTGATAACAGCACAACGATCGATTCAAAACACGAATTGGGTATCATTGGTTCCTTTTTGTACATTTTGCTAGTACTTATGATTTTCGAAGCGACTTGACTGCTTCGTTTTGTGCATCGATAATTCGATACACCCCCAAGTATCTCAATATTCTGCCTTTGCCCTTGGGCCCTGCAGCTCTGGCTTCCTTGAGCGCGTTTCCAAGGTCTAGTAGCAACGTATTCCGGCATCTGTTCAGTCGTTCTTCTGCCTTGACCACGAATGGGTGGTTCTGATCTAATGTTTCCACCATGTCCATAATGTACCTGCATTGATGAGCAGATATTGTGAGCTTCGCTGGAGAGCTTGCTCCCAAGCCCACCGCAGGGGAATGCCCGTCTTCATCCACCTCGTCCTCGCTACTTTCGATGTCGGAATCCCACATGTGGTTCTGTTTTGGCGCTGCTGAAGGGAGGCTGTCGAGGGCAAGCCTTTCTTCCAAGGTGGACAGACGGTCGGACAGCTCGAGCAGCTCCCGCCCCGTTTCTATATCCGCCCGGACATCCTTCAATTCACCATTGAGGGCTGCAGTCTGCTCTTTCCGCTGCGTTACTTTTTCCTTGACTTCTTCCACAGCTCTACGGAAGCCGAGCAGGGCGACCTTGACATCCTCCACCTTGTCATCGCCTCCCCGGAGATCGTTCCCCAGTGATAGGAAGGCAGTATAGTTTGAATTGACAAGCTCCAGCAGCTCAGAGCTGATGGAGGCGCTGCGTTCTCGGAGGTCGGAGCGCAAATCTTCTAGTGTTTGGTGGCGGTGTGACAAAGCGGAGAGGTAGGCGGCCGGTTGGAAATCGGAGGCAAGGAAGTCGGACCGTGGGAGGGCCGCCGGGAAGGGAAGAGGAGCATCGTCGTCATCCGGGACATCTGAGCCGTCGGGCGATGTGTTCGTTGAGGATGGGAAGCTGAAAGCCGCCGAGATGGAACGGGATGCCACCGGGGGCGCGAGATTGGCCATTATCGATGGCGACAGAATCTAGGCCAGGATCTGAGATCTGGGACGCTCGATTCGGGGTCCGAGCCAATACCACCGGTTGGGAGGCAAGACGAACGCTCGCCTGGGCAGTAGGTGCTTAGTTCAGGGCCAGATGCATGGTGGAGGGTGGGGCGGAATTGGCCTGAGTCGCGGGTAGGTTAAACATTTGGTGCTGGCCTGAGAGTCGTCCGCTGCATTAAGCGAATAACCCCACTATATGCATGAAACACCTTGCATGCGTGCAAAGCTTAGGTGCGCTGCCACCAATGATCTATCATTTTCCCGAGGCCTACAGCGTGTATCTCCATCCTCTAGATGGGAGCGTTGGGGAACACTGCGATTTCGGAGTGTCAGGCGATCTGCTGTGGAATGGCCTGGTGTGGGAGCGCAAACTGGTATGACTCGGGCCGTAGTCGAAAGACATCGTCTGATTGCTGGGCACGAGTCCGACTTTCGGTTTTGGGAGCAGGTGGTAGGTGCCTTCTCGTCGCTGGCCCCTCGTATCTCCGCAGGGGCGAGTAGTAACAGCGCACTAGGTCCCTGAAGGACCAGCGATGGATCCATTGCTTGTCTTAAAACAGGAGGGGACCGGCGGCAAAGGCAGGGGGTCCAATATTCAGCTACGGGGCGCTTCAAGGTTGTTGCTCGGCGATACGTATGCATGTTTATCATCCTCCACAAGGGCCTTCCTTGGCTCACTCTCCTGGCCAAGTCGGATTTTTTCAATTCAAATACAGCCTGATACCATCTTGCCATTCCTTGGAGCGAAGGAGAGGGGGGAAGACAGCACCCGCACATGCCAATGTCTGCCGTGGGGGGAGGCACACGAGGTGGCTACCTACGACACCAGACCCTCTTAGCTGCAGGAAAAGTTTTATCAATCAATCTAATCAATCTCATCACATCAGTACCCACTTCGCGTGGTCATGGTTTGATCATGCCATAAGAAGTACATCCCGGTTCCAGTCGGATCCCCGTACAGCCGAGAAAAAAGACTCATAAACATCTCAGGGAGCTGAGTTTTGTGGTGTAAATTTACTGATCGTCTGACCGTGAATTCTCCGTCTTTCTTTCGGATGTGGGGGGAAAGAGTGAAGAGATCTCGAGTTAAAGAGCAATGGTGGTGCAGGTACTCGGTGATTGTTAGGGTAGCTCACGGGGCAAGGTATCCAGCTCAAACCTGCTCAATCGCGAACAATCGCCCAAGCAGGTGCAACGCGTTGGACACCGAGCTTTCTTCACAATACAACATTCTAAAATCATTTCTGCTCTTGACATATTCCTCCTTGTGATCTGGGAAGTGTTGAGCGTACAGGCACAGCTGATCTATTCCTTTGGCTAGCCCATGGTACCATCCACCACAGGCCCGCTAGCCAAACACGGGTATCGTGCCTCCGACTGCGCTGCCCAGCCGCCAGTGACGAATCATAACCGAGAAACCCCCACAATGGTGGTTCCAGTCCCAACAACCTCTTCTTCTTCAACTCCTCACCAGGTGCTCGGCGGCATTTATTTAGACACTGCCTCCCGCTCACCCTCCTCAGGGCTGTCTCTGTCCTCTTCCCCCCTAGAGCCCGCAGCCCCGAGCCCCCCGACATCGACGTCCGCTTACAGCGTACCGCTGAGGGAGCCGCTGGATTTGCACCGCTTTTATTCCTACCCGCCTCATATTCCGCACGACCCCCCAGACACAAGGCCAGGCCCACTGCCGCCACTGCAAGACCTTGTATTGTCACCCATTGAGTCTCCAAACATGACTACGGTACTTAGCCCTAATGCCCTCCCCCCTCCGGAGAATGCACCGCGCATGTCTATGACCTCACGGGAATGGGTCATTCCTCCCCGCCCAAAGCCGGGCCGGAAGCCTGCGACGGACACACCACCCACCAAGAGAAAAGCACAGAACCGAGCGGCTCAGCGCGCTTTCCGTGAGCGACGAGCCGCCCGAGTCGGCGAGCTTGAGGAACAGTTGGATGCACAGAAGGCCGAGTACGACAAGGATGAGGCTGCTTTGAAGGAAAAGATCCGAACTCTCGAGTTGGAATTGCAGTCGTTCCGCTCGCGATGTTTGCTTCTGGAAAATATGCTTGAGCGTGAGAGGAAGGAGAGGATCCGTGCAGAGACGGAGTTGGAGGCTCAGAAAAGACGACCCAGTGAGAGTTATTCTAGACGGGAGAGTACCGTAGGCCAACCTAACATTTTGCCACCCATCAGCCAGCGACGGAGTCTGCCAAACCATCCGGTTGACCATCCAGAGTCTGTGTTACCATCCCTAGAGGATGCCGACCATTCGCTCAACTGCGGGAACTGTTCTCCTAGCGGTTGCGTTTGTGCCGAGGAGGCTTTGGCCTCTGTCAACTCAGCTCTGAGCCAGGGCCGGTTGACGAAGCGTGCTGCTTCGCCTTCCGGCTCTCTGTCAAGCGAGAAGAGACATCGACCCAACCCAATCACATCATCCTTTTCTGCCCGGCAGGATGATCATATGCGACACCCCGAGAATGATCTCAAGGATGGCTGCGGATTTTGCAAGGAAGGCACATACTGTGTCTGTGCCGATACAGCAGCCATGGCAACACCAGCAATGACGCCAACCGCTGATACCCTGCCTCCCATTCTCTCTCAAACCCAAACCCCACCTCCCTCGGAACCTGATTCTACTTCCCACCTGATGGTCATGGAGATGACGGCCGACGGCGCTGTCAAGCTCCCTCGCAGAAACAACACGCACGCTCGCCTCAAGGCTGCTGAGCCTTCCTCTCGAAGCTGTGGAGCCAACGGGCCCGGCACATGTGCCCAGTGCCAAGCTGATCCAAAATCTGGCCTCTTTTGCCGGCTTATGTCGGCGAAGTTCAGCCGTGAGCAGGGCGGCAGTGGAGGCTGCTGCGGCGGGAAGGGCGCAGGTGGAGGATGCTGCAAGTCGGCTCCTCCCAGCCAGCCACAGCCAGAGAAGATCACCTTACCAAGTCTGCCGAGTCTAGGCTTGAGCTGTGCCGAGGCATACCAAACCCTGTCCAGCCACCGCCATTTCGACAAGGCCTCAGATGACATTGGATCGTGGCTCCCCAAGTTGAGGACTACAGCAATGGACGATAGGAAGACGCACAAGCGGAAGGATGTCGAGGTTGAGGCTGCCAGCATAATGAGCGTGCTGAAGGATTTTGATGTTAGATTTGGCGCATGATGGAGAGACTGGCACGTCTTTTCTTTTTGGGAATGATTCTTTTCGGCGTACTTGGGTTGGGAGGCTTCGAGATGAAAAACTGATTCTGTTCTGCCGGCTGGCTCGAACACACGTGGCTTAAACTATATGGCTAGTAGATCTGAAGATCAATGTGAAACATGCACGTCTTGGTAATTTTTAATCCCTCTTGAATATTTTTGAGTGACACTTGCTGGTTCAACAGGCACGATATTCCACGATATGTGGTCTCCGTCGTTACAGTTAGGGATGTTTCTGAAGATGCTGGTCACAACCTCGTTCTGCAATTTCCCATTTGGCTTCTGTTTTTGCTATGGACAGTATATCACTGTTTCATTGAGGGGATTTTAAAAAGGAAATATTGCAGTTGACAATAAGGTGATGCCCCTTACCGGAGATTGATCTTGATGTTCAAGAAACTGTCCGAAAGTTCTGGCACGACTGAAGCTTTGTGTCATCAACATAGTGTTTCTAGTGAGACTGAAACTTATTTCTAGACCTTTCTTCGATTTGCCTTCAGGATTTAGTTGGTGTCAAATGGATCGAGTGAGCCATTCGTCAAAATGTTGCTAGAATCAGAATGTCATGGGATTTCTGCATTTCTTTGATACCACTCTTTAGGTACTTTAAAACTTCTCAGCATATTTGCTTTGGCCTTTCAATGAGTTATTTTCCCTGTTCTACTAATCTATTGGTAAATTACCTTGGAGATTTGACTTTAAGACTTTCGCCCTATGGTTTACTTGACCTTGTTTGTGAATAATCGGACAGACTGGCAAACTTGGAGGGCATTGTCTAAGCAGATCAAACCATCATCTGACAATCGTATCTACGTAACACGTCTGTTGTCCTTGCGGTTCCTTTCCAGTAACTTGAGATCTGTTGCGGAAGGAAAACAGGATGGAGAGGACATGGGTCCTACCACCGTGAAGAGGATACCTTGCTGTTTGGTAAATACAGCTCCTCATACGCAAGGGGCGAAAAGCAGCATTACGCGTGCCGTCGCGTTCGCCGAGTCATGGCTCTGATACCTCCCATACTGCCTGAACGTATCATTCTGACCAAGGCAACAGAAACAATGGGCGCATCGACGCTAGCCTATGGCAGCGCAAAGGGGAAATGATGGGAAGCATGGAGTGTCACTGCTACCGGGATGGGCATCCAGTGCATTGATAGGCAAGAGGACGTATACGGCAATACCAAGAGTTGCGACTCGCAGCGTGTTGTTGCGCGCTCTGGCTGAATCAGGACTCGTGATATGGGTTCAGCAGGGAACATCGATGGAGGAGAGGCCGTCTACGGAGGTCCTCAGCTGCTATATGTACGATGGGAAGGCTGCTCATTGTGCATCGATTGGATGCCGTAAGTTGCTCAGTGGCGAATGTACCTACATACCATTCACCGGGGAAGCTAGATGGGAAAACCGAGGTGAATCGAGAGGTTACAAACACCTGATTGCATGAGCGGCATCTGACTTGCATGACCCAGCCGATCTGTAGGCGGCCCAAAGGGGCAGTAGGTCCCCTTCAGCAGGTGTGCCGCATTTCAGTTTAGTGGCGGCCACGGTATGGGAGCCGGGGCAGGGACCGTAGGGGTCAAGGTGTGGGACGGTAAGGGGAGGGGGAGATGGCAGGGAAGGGTAGGTGAGGGAGCATCGGAGGAGGCGAGGAGAGGCAGAAACACGGTGTGAGCTGGACCAAGGCGTGCTCAGATTAAGCATGAACCTCCCATGAACCAAGCATATCCGTCATAATGGCAAGATGACCAGGACGGCTAGCAAGGACTGCAGGGCCGGTGTGTCGAGGCGCTGGAGGTTTGGACGGTTGCGTGCAGGTGCAGGAGCCAGGAATGATTGGACTATGAGTTGGCACATTTGCCTCGGGTGCATTGCATGGCGTGGACGCCAGAGATTGGTCGAGCCGGCGGGAGGGAGGGGCGAGGAGATGCATGAGGGTGATCCGGCATTGGACGAGGTATTATGTGGATGGGTGGTGGTTGGAGCTTAACATTGTGTCCATATAGGCCTACCGGCTCAACAGAAGGCAAGGCACGGCACACATGACATGCCCACGGCCAGGAGGGGGCCAGACGGGGAGGGGGAGGGGAGGTGTTTGCCTGCAGACCGGAGGAAACTCGACGTGGACCCGCAATGCCAACTCATCGCCGACTGGGAATTGGACGAGCGTGGACCACCCATTGCCAAGGGGTTGGGTCTTTGGGACACAAGAGGAGGGGGTGGTCTGGGTGCATGGGGCTAATCTGGCGGCTGTGATACCAAAGGAGAGGGAAGAGTCCATGGGCAAAAAAAGTCTGATCATGTCTAAAATAACACAAATGCGGGACTGTTGGTGAGATCCTCGAGAATCTAGATAGGCTCCAGAGTATCGGACCCTTGGGCGGCTGGCAGCAAACCGCCTGCACAAATAGGAAGGCCAAACGACTGACGTCCAGCACTCAGCCTGCAATAGCTGTTTCATGGGTCTGTACGGCACACGAGCAAGGAAAGACGAGGACAAAGAAAGACATGGCTCCGTATCTACCTGACCTACAACTGTCCCGTACACGAGTACCTAGTATTCGTGTACGTATCCAAGTCGGCTAACCGCACACGTAGTTGACTCGTAATGGCCCTTTGCGCTGAGCAGAGGGCAGCTGGAAACGATGTGGGAGGGGAAGCAAGCACTTAAGTGGCTGGTGGTTCTGCAGCGACCCGACATCCAGCCAAACTCGTCCAGGTACAGGCGGACGTACATATATATACAGGGCAGCCGCTGCATCCTTACGTAGGCCGACACAGCAGACGCGTAGGAAGAAACGTGGTCGGAAACCATAAGGCCGTCGAATGGCGAAACCAAGGACGGCGGCGCCGAGCACCAGGAAGGACAGCGTGCAGGTCTGCACATGGCCGGAGGCTGTGTAGGTCTGGGAATGGCGGGAGTGGCATTTGCGAGTGGGTGCTTCATGTGGCCAACGCATCTCGCAGAGAGATCAGATGGACCGGGCCTCAACAATCAGCTCAGGGCATAAGACTCAAGACAGCTGTTGAGCTGGCACCCGCGATAAGTCGAGACCAATGCCCGTGGATCCCACTCGGGACTAGCGCGGCCCGCCCCAGTGTATCGTCGTGCTCTGCCGACGGCTCCCCGCAGGGACCAGCCCAGTCGACGAGTTGTCCAACGCCAGTGCAGCGCCAGCACCGCATGTACTGGCAGGTACTGGGAGCCCGGCAGCGCCTCGACCCAAGCTTGTTGCACCGAGCACAGGTACAGCGCAGCACCGCTCATCAGCACAACTCGCACTACCTTAGTAGGCTAGCGGTCATCACCTCAGCACAACAGCGCAGCAAATGAGAGGGCACAACGCAGCAAGCACAGCACAGCGCAGCAACGCCGCATCGCACAACTCCGACACAACTTGTTCACAATGTTGACGAGCATGGCCCATGCCGGGCTGTCATTATTCAGCTATGCATGTTTTATGTAGACTCATCGCATGCGCCGTGGTACCTCGCCCGGGTACTTCGTGCATGCTCGTAGTACACTCGTACCTGCCCGGCCATGTCATGTCAAGTACCAACTCAGGTATAAGCACCACGTCAATGGCAGGAGCGCTCTGCCCGCTCTTCCTGGCCTGGCCGCCCCATCGGTTTGGCAGACAGACAGACGGGCAGACAGCACACAGACAGCCAGACTGACGCATTGGCACCACACACACCCGACGTGCTTGCACCTGCATCCCCATCCCCGGTGTCTCGCTGCTCTGATCTGATACCTGCGTGACGCCCCGATTCTTTTCTTCTTTTCCCCTTCTCCCTCCCCTCACCTCTCGCCTCTTTTCTCTCTTGCTTTCTTCTTTCTCTCCTGCTCTTCTTCCTATTTCTAGTCTAGGGCCGCCCTCGCATCAGCCTATACCTACCGACCTTCCCCCCCTCCATCCCGGGTCCGCACCTCTCCGCCGGAACTGGCCCTTGCGCTGCCTCGTCTCCGCTATACCAGCCTGATCGACGACATCCTTTCTTTTCTGTATTCTGCCCAACACGAAGCGAAACCAAACGGAACCAACCTCCCGGGGCCTGCGAGCTGTGCTTCTGCTTCTACTTCTATTTCTGTCCTGTTCTTCTAGATTTATTTTTTCGCCCAACCGTAGAGCATCTTTAGGCCGCTGTCGACTAGCTCCCAAGGCAGCTTCCGCGAAGCTGTCTGCTCGAGCTGCCCGACTGCGCGCGACCCCCACGACCTTAATGGGTACACTATGATCTCCATGCAACGCTCTCTCTCTTCGCCAGTCCGAATTCACTCATCCCCGCGTATGTTGTGTCGCCTCGTCTGCCCAGTTTGTTTTTCTTAGAAGTCTTCTCGAATCTCGCACCACTGGCAACATACTGATGGTTTGTGCCGTCCTTTACAGCCGTATCACCCACCGTGGCCACGACGCACGACTCGAGATCTCCCACCCCGTCCCCCGATGACTATGTCGCCATTGCCCTCCCACGTCGATACCGATCTCGTAGCCCGAACCACAAGCTGGATCTGAACCAGACTCTGCCGGTGCGCCGCAGCGAGGATGCTTCCTCCAGGACGGGTAACCAACACCAGCTGCCTCCCACCATGACCTCCTCCTCCTCCTCCCGGAAGCCTGTTGTGGCACAGCCAACTCCTCCTACCCACGGCCACTCGCGGCACAACTCTGCGAAGCTATCGGCCTCTGGTATCCAAATGGCGAACGACAAGACCTCGACCACCTTCCCCCAGCCTCTCCTGCAGGACATCTCCCTCTATACAAACTCCCACCTGATCCCCGATAATGAGAATACAAGCCTGGAGGAGCTTGCGCATCTTGTGCGCCTCTCCAAGTACCAGGAGCGCAAGCGCGCCAACAACCGGATTCGATTGCAGAGGACACTAATCTCTACAGCCCTCAGCGCTCGACTTACACGCGCCGGAGAGGTTGCCCATCGAAACCTCGTGGATACTTTTCGCCGA